ATCAGATCGAGGCACTCAGTTTACCTCAAGGTTCTGGAAGCAGTTGCATGAAGCCCTTGGAACCGATCTGAATTTTAGTACGGCCTACCATCCGCAGACCGATGGACAGACAGAAAGGGTAAACCAAATCCTAGAAGACATGCTACGTGCGTGTGCCCTGGATTTCGAAGGCACTTGGGATCGTTGTTTGCCGTATGCTGAGTTCTCGTACAACAACAGTTATCAGGCCAGCATTCAGATGTCGCCGAATGAGGCAATGTTCGGAAGAAAGTGCCGCACTCCCTTGTGCTGGAATGAGGTGGGCGAAGCGCTGGTATTCGGTCCTGACATACTGAAGGCAGCAGAAGAACAAGTTAAGCTGATCCGAGAACGTTTGAAGACAGCACAGAACCGTCAGAAGAATTACGCTGACAATCGGAGGCGTGACCTTGAGTTCAAAAAGGGAGATCATGTGTACCTGCGGGTATCACCCCTCCGTGGTATGAGAAGGTTTGGGATGTCCGGCAAGTTAGCACCCCGCTACATCGGCCCCTACCTCATAACCGCCAGATGTGGCGAAGTGGCTTATCAGCTTGAGTTACCTGAAGGTCTCGCAGATGTGCACAACGTGTTCCACGTATCCCAGTTAAAGAAATGTCTTCGAGTTCCAGAAGAACAAGTTCCCCTGGGTAATATCAAGCTGGAAAAGAATCTGACCTACAAGGAAAGACCGATCAAGGTTCTTGAAGAGGCAGAACGTCAGACTCGAAGGAAGACCACCAAGTTCTACAAGGTCCAATGGAGCAACCATTCTGAAGATAAGGCAACCTGGGAGCGAGAAGATCTTCTCCGCGCCGAGTTCCCGGAGCTGCTCAATTAGGTGCTGAATCTCGGGGTCGAGATTCTTGTTAGGGGGGTTGGTCTGTAGCGCCCGTTCCGTCGTGGCGCCTAGCGGGAAAATTATCTCTTAAAAACCCTAATTGCGAAATTTGTTTCTTTACTTGTTGTCTAGTGTCCGTACCATCTCAGATCTCAAATCCCCGATCTATCGTCAAGTTCAATTCCGAATCCAAATCCTTCCAAATCAATTCCTCCGCAAAAGTCTATTTTGCCTCCCCCGGGTTCGATGGGCCGAATCTCTCTCGGCCCATCTTCCCCTCCCCTCCCCGGCGCCCTCTCTCACTCTCTCTCTCTCTCTCTCTCTCTCTCCCTCCGCTCCGCTCCGCTCCGCCCGCGCGCCGCGTGCGCGCGAGCGCGTGAGCCGCGCCGAGCGCCCCTCCTCCGCTCCCTCCGCCCTGCCCGCGCGTGTGTGAGCCGCCGCGCCGAGCGCCTCCCTCCCCCTCCGCTCTGCGCGCGCGCGTGTGCGTGAGCCGCCTGCCCATTGTTTCCCGAGCCGCGCCGCCCATTGTTTCCCGCGCGCGCGTGCCGTGGTGGCCGACCGCCTGGTCGCCGCCGCCGTCAGCCTCTGCCGCGCCTGCCGCCCGTGTCGCCGCTCCGCTCCAAACCGCCCCGCCGTCATCGCCGTCGTCATCGCCCGGCCCCCGCTACTCCGCGCGCAAGCCGCCAAGGGACGGAGGCAGAGCCCCTCCCCTCCCTCTGCCGCGTCGCCCCCGCTCCCCTCCTCCTTTTCCCAAAGAAGCAAAGGGTGAGCTCCCCTTTCTCTCCCTCCTTTTTCCCTTTTTCCCTCTCGCCGGCGTCACCTCCTGTCGCCGTTTTGGCCGCTAGCCGGAGCGCCAGCTCGTCGGCTTGACCGTCCAATGTCGGTTCCCCTCTCCCAAACCGACATTGCCGCCCCTATAAACCAAGGCGCCCTCCCATCGATTCCCCCCCCCCCCCCCCGTTTCGCTCATCGCCTCCGTGCCATTGCCGCCGCCTTCCGTGCTCCGTCTCGCCTCCGCCGTTCATCGCCAAGCGCCGGGAGAGCCGGTGCGTTCGTGGACGCGGAAGGGGACTCCGGGCGCGCCCTCTCCTTCCTCTTCCCCGGCCCGAGGCCGGAGAGATTACTCCCGCGCCGTCGGCCTCTCGTCACTGCGCCCCGTCTCGCACGGTAGTGCATCTCCCCGTTCTCCTTCCTCGTTCCATCTCTCCCCCTTAGTTTTCGGTATTAGCTCGAGTAGCCTCCCCGTAGCAAGCCGGCGCCGCCTCGACCGTTGCCATCGCTCGCCGTGTGCTCGCCGCCGTCGCCGCCCGTGCTCCGTAGCACCCGCTCGTCGCCGGCCTCGCTCGGCGTAGCTCCGCCCAATCCGACGCTAGCAACGGATTCCCGCGGCCGCGTAGATGCTCTCGCCGCCGGGAATTGGCCCCTCGTGACCTCGTCGCCTTTTCCCCCTTCTTCCGCTGCCGCTTGCCGCCGCCGCAATTCGTCGCCGTCAAGCTCCCTCCAGCGAATCCGAGCCGTTGGCTCGTCTCCCCTTGTCCTGTGCAACCACCCGGTGTGCTCGCTTTCGCCTGTATCGCCGTGGTTCGCTCCGCCGCTCGCCGCTGTCGTCCGCCGTCCGTTCCGGCCGGCGTTGTCGTCTACCTCCCGCCGGCCCGCGTGGCTGCCACGTAGGCGCCACGTCGGCGCCACCTCGGCCACGACTGGATCAGCTGACCCGGCCAGCCGCTCCCTCCGTTTTTCCTCCCGTGCGCATGGTCCGCGGTGAGCCGTGAGGCTGCGCGTGGGCCCGCCGCATCCGTTCCTCCGCGAACCACGCGCGTGCACCGCGTCCCAACCCCGCCCGCGCGCGTGCGCCGCGTGCTCCCTCCGCACGGTGAGCCGAGCCGCTGACAAGCGGGTCCCACCCGGGACCGCGCGTGGTGAGCCCGGTCCACCGGCCCCCTCTCTCCTCCCCTCCCGCGCGCGCTCTGGGCCGCCTTTTGGGCCGGCCGGCCCATTAAGACTCGGCTGAGCCACCCCAAATCTCTTGGGCCGCACCCTAGCCGCCCGAGAAAAGTCTATATTCCCTCCCTCCTTTCTTTTCTTTTTTTTCTTTTCCAAAAAGGATTTAATTAAATCCTTTTCCTTTAGACCAAAAATCCAAACATAAGACAAGTACGACCACATGGGTGGAATGGGACACCCCTGGCTGAGTAACTAGCTTATCAGGGGAGCCTTGATGCCGAGTGACATGTGGATTCGCCGGGGTGGTGTCGGGGAGGACCCCTGGGCTTCCTGGCACAGTATGGTCTGGGACCTAACCTGTTGTTGGTCTGGGACCCTTCTCGTCGGCATATGGTAAACCTGTGTCGGCTTTGGAAATGCCTTGTCATGAAAGCTTGGAGGTCTCCCGACGTGGCTGATTCCCACAGGCTGGGTGATCCGGGTTAGTAATGTCGTGTGGGTAAAGTGTACCCCCTCTGCAGAGGTTAACAAACTGTTCGAACAGCCGTGCCCACGGTCATGGGCGGATGTGAGGTGATTCCTAGCGTAGTTTTGTTTGACTACTGCTTGTGAAATTGCTGTTGTGAAAAGGGGTTCGATGTTTGAAAAATCTGCAGCTGACGGGATCAGCTAGGCCCGGGTGGCCGTTCGAAAGTTGTTGGCCGGGTGCCAATCTTGATCAATTCTAAAGACTGATACATTGCACAAACTCCGACCGGACGAGACACACTGTCTCATCCGTGTCGTTTGAGAAGCACTCACTTAGTTGTTTTCAAAAAGGAGTTCAAATAAAATCAATTGTAAAAATAACAGCCTTTCCTTGAAGCCTGCATTAAACACTTATTTCCCATGGCTTGCTGAGTACTCCCGTACTCACCCTTGCTCTATATAAATAATCCCTCCCCCCCAGTTGCTAAAGAAGATGAAGCGGATCCTGCTGATGAGGAGTTCTTCCAGGAGCAAGCCGGCTACGATGAGTTTTAGGGTTTCGGCCTAGTTCCCAAGTCGCGCCTGTGTTGTTTGGTCCAAGTCCTGGCTTCCGCTTCCCTTTTGTAATGCAGTTGTGAGCTCGGGATCTGTCCGCAGCCCAACATGACTGTACCTCTACTCTATAATAAAGAGACCTCTGTTGCTGTGATAATCTGTCTTCCTGTGATACCAGCACTGTGTCCTAGGACTGGTATCGATTAACAGGTTAATTTGGAGCGTCACGGGCTAGTTCCGGTCGGTACTAGTTCGGAGCGTGACAGTATCACATTTTTAAGCGTAAAATTTAGTACCTTCGGGTACTATACCTTGAGGAACCAAATTTTTAGTATAAAATTTAGATACATCGACGTACTTTCTCAAGTATTGTAAAATTTCTTCAGGTTAAATAGGAATAACGGTTCTTTGAAAGCCCATAATTTACATGTATCCAACTAATAAAATATAAGTGCCAAAGAAATAAGGTAGACATACATTGACATACCCAGACTAGAAATAAAATAAATTATCTACCAAAATTGGGTCATATTGTCAATGAACATTGCTGGTATCAGAAAAACTGTGTCCATGAAGATAATCCTGGGTTCACGTCCGTTTGGTTTTGGTCAAATGAAGTTAAATTTGATCTTGAATTACCTTCTGTTGAAATGCATAAACGTCCTCGTCAGTCGTCTATCTCTAGTTTAGTTGTAAAGGGAATGTTCTACACCTAATGAGAAATTGAAAACGGAACCTGCAACTAGTTCATATACTATTTAAATTTCAGTCTATCAGCAATAAATTGGATTGATCTGTTACAATCAGAGAACTTAAGAACACGGAAAGTTCAGTGCAGATATTTCTTAATTTTAAATTTGTAAGACCATGTGCACCAATACGAGTTGGAGTATTGAATTGAACTATTTGTTGATAGTTGCTCAAGCTAGTATCATTCCGTTAACGCCATATTTTTAAATTTGTTTAGTGTGGACTCTGGAGAAACCGAATAATAATTTCCTTTGGAGTCACGTTGCTTTCGTCGTCGGGAGCATTTTTCCGATTAATTTGGACAGCAAAAGCTACAAAATATCACTGCACACGATTGCTCAAATTACTGTGCGTTACCTGTAGTTTTTTACACAATTATTTTGCATTAAAATCTGATGGACGCACATGAATCATTTCTTTTCAGTGGATACATCGCGCCCGAGTACTGCTCCCAAAATGTTTATTCAACAAAGTCTGATGTTTTTAGCTTTGGCATTTTGGTTCTTGAGATCATAAGTGGGAAAAGAGCCGTGGGTTCATACAAATTATCTGGAAGATCATACGAGCTCAGGAGATATGTGAGTGAAAATCTCCTAAAAACTCTGCATATTCATCCTTTCCTACTGAAGCTGCATGTATCACTGTTGCTCGTTTATGTTTACCCTCTGAAACTTTATATTGTTTAATATTTGCTAATAGGCTTGGCAACTTTGGAAAGAAGAGAGATGCGACGAGTTGGTGGATCCATCTTTTGGAGAAGATTACCAAGAAATGGACATTATTAGGTGCATTCAGGTGGCACTTCTGTGTGTCCAAGACAGTGCAGAGGACAGGCCAACGATGCACGATGTAACGACGATGCTAAGCAACGGAAACAGGAGGTTGCTCATGCCTGCACAACCAGGTTCATTCAACATAGATATTGGCGATCCAGAGGAGCTCTGATGATGAAACCAGACTGACAGATCGTCCAGACAAATCAAACGTGTTTAGCCGGACGAATTCGATGTAGACAAATTAAATCAAATTTAGATCAAGCTATATATAGGACAATTATTCATGTATAAAGTGTTGTGTTCGCCACCTGTTGGAACTAAACTGATTGCAGATTAATTTCCCATGCTCTTGGCTAATTTGTACAGATTGAAAATCAAACTGCTTTGCTGTATTTTCCAACTAGAGGATTCATGAACAACACAGCCCAGCTTGGTTTGTTGACATGATCATTTTCTTCTTTTTGTTGATTTAGAGCATCTCCAACAGTCTCTCCAAATTCCACTCTTCAAATATCTATTTAGCCAACTATCCATTTAATTTGACAAGTTAAATCCGTTATTTACTCCAACAGCCTCTCCATTCATCCTCTCTATTATGAGTCTGTAACAGCGGGACCCATATGTCAGCCTTCTACATCACTTTCTTCCTCATTATCCTGCTCCCCCTCTTCCCCAAGCCCTTTTTGCTTGCGGCAGTGGTGCCCGCCCGCGGCGACGGCGGGGCAGCGGTGGCAGCGCGTGGCGACGGTGGGGCGGTGGTGGCCGCGCGCGGCGACGATGGGGCGGCGGTGCTCGTGCCCGACGACGACGGGGCGACGGTGGCCGGGTGCGACGACGACGGAGCGTTCCTCCTAATGGCGACCCTACTACTTATTGCTCGTCTCCCCACTCGGCACCCCCCATCTCTCTTTGTGCCAAAGGTAATCCATCCATTCCATCCATCGAATCCTGCTTCTTTTTTGCTTGTGCCTTGTGTTGCAAAGCAGTCTTGGATTCCTTCTGTTCGCATTGCCATGAGAGTTCTAGTTCGATCCCCAACTAAGAGCGTTTTGTTTTCGTTTTTTATTCTGTTCGTTCGTTCTTTCGATCTGCAGATCCTACAAACTCGCCTCGCGAATAACGATGGCATCGTCGCTGCCGTCGTCTGACCCGTCCTTGGAGACCGCAGAGGAAGGAGAGGGAAGACGTCGGCTCCCTGTGGATGGTGGCCGCGGCGCAAGGAGACGAGAGGATGTGGTGTGGTAGCGGAGCTGGAGGGAGAGGAGAAGCTCGGGTAGAGGAGAGCTGGGGGATAGCCAGCCTAGGAGGCTGGCCAATATTAGCCAGTGGGTGGGCTTGAATGGAGAGGCAATGGAGAGTTTGTTGGAGGAGTGTTTTTGGTTCATTTGTCAAATTTTTAGCTTGGAGAGCTTAGTAGAGAAGCTGTCGGAGATGCTCTTATTGGGCTTGGGCTTGAGCTTGAAAACTCGGCCACTATATCAACTGAGGTCAAGAGATATAAGCCCATATATATACGCTAGTATGGAGATTTCACCATGAACGTCCTACTAGTACTCAGAAATCATACTAGTACACGTAACAATCCAATTCAGTATCCAACTAGCTCAATTTATTTGTTCCAACAGCATCACATGTACTGTATATGCACAAGGATCACACAGCTAGCACCAGTTAAGCTCGTCCCAGCGCCACACGAAAATGTAACCAAGGACGGTCGCGATCGTCACTTCTAGCTACTACAACCAATATACATAGTACATACTGCAAATCTGCAATCTGCAAAGCGCTGCAACACCACACGCGACAGATACTTCATCATCAGGTGCCCTCCGCCCCGGACATCTTGCTCAGCCTGCTGGGCTGCTTGGAGTCCTTGCCGCCGGCCACCGCCTGCTGCCTCTGCCTCGCCGCGCCGCGGCACCGGCTCGTCGTCGTCGGCCCGTACAGCGCCCGCTGCGCCACCGCGCCGGCGTACAGGTCCACCCTCGACTTACCGCCGCCGCCGCCGCCGATGCCGTCGGAGCCCTGGCTGATGATCTTCTTCGTCGTCTGGTGGTGGTGGCCACCGTGATGATCAGCAGCTGACGCCTCCATGTCGTCCTGATGCGAAAACACTAATTGCGAGTGGTGCAAGTGAGATCTAGCTAGTAGTGTGAGATACAACGCACGATGCGTGGGAGCCGGAATTTATAGTGGCTTGGGGGTTGAAACTTCCCAAGGGGAAAGGAATCTGGCGACGTGTGGATGTGGTGTTCGCTTGCATTGGTAGGAGAAGGCACTGAGGTATGTGTGGAGACCTTTTTCTGTTTTTTTGGCTTTTTTTGGGTCTTAGTCGCTTCAGGGGATGGTAAACACCACTCTAAATTTTAAGCCCAAGGTATCCACGTGTGAGCCTTAGTTCATCTTAAGCTCACGAGAACCCTCGGTGGTGGACTGGTGGTATGGTAGTAGGTCCGGCTAGATTACACCGTACGTAGTGACTTCATCTTTCATAAAATGATCAATTCTAGATTTCGGCCAGCTGGAGACCTTCCCCCGACAATCTTAAGGCAATTTTATTTTTTTTTTACGAAACACTGTGATTTCGCGGTTTTGGTTGTAGAACGCCACATGAAATGACTTTTAAGAAATTTTGGAAAAGTTACTCTAAACATGAAAACAAGCTCGTGGACACCTCATCCATTAGAATATTTATTTATGATTGAATAGGAGAGAGAAACCTTGTGAAATTTCTAAAGTATCCCTGTACCCACTTGTCAGTTCTTCAATCACGAGTCTGGTTTTTATTATGGTTTGGTTACTATTTGACCTATTCAGAATTCGGCACTTTCCTCTTCGTTATCAGGTCAATCCAAAACGAGGAGTGGGGAGATGAGTGAGGGCGTGAGGAATTCGGCAAGGAACGGCCATGAGGATGATGACTGAGCACGTCCCATGGTGTAACTCTTTCGTACATGGCTGAAGCAAGTATTGAGAAGAACTAAAGCGATGGGAACATGACCGACAAAGGCACTATCCCGAAGGAGAGATAAACATCGGTGGTGAGCTCCGGCGGTGAATATGACCAAGGGAGCGCATCAAAGCGTGTTATCGGACGATATATTCCATTTTTCTAGAACTTGTTGATGGATGTGGAGCAAAGGTGGTAGCATCTATGGCGGCCATCCATGGCGAAGAAGAGGAAGGGAAAGTTGAGGGCAAACCCTCACCGAAGCGATGAGGAGGCCGGGGTGCAGGAGTGTCCCGGTGACCAGTGACGGCATTTTAGAACTTAGAGGCTTACAATAATGCCCTATGTGCGAAAGAGAAAGATAGAGATAGAGAGATGGGAGACCTGATATGTGGATCTAGGGAGGCTTATAATCAGAACTTTCACATGGTTTTACTCTACTGTTCAACCAGAAACAAATATTCTAATGGTCGTGGTGTTCACGAGTTAATTTTCACATTCATCGAGTGCCTTCACCCAGAAGTTACTTCATGTGATGTTCTACAGTTAATACCACGAAGTCATAATGTCCTGTAGCAAAATTTTTCAAAATTCAATTGATTATTATATAACCGTATGAGCGTAAAGGGTCTTTCCCACTTGGTGATAGACTCCCCAACTTATATCTTTGGACTTTTTCCAATTCCACAACCAATTACTGTGGGACTATTTAACATTAACCATGCAATTTTTTCGAGATTCATGCTTAATTTGAGCTCCGATACACTGCTAGTGGTGGCACCAAATTGTGATAAGGCTAGTATAGCTAGGACTTGAGCCTTAGGCTAAATGCATGATGCATAATTTATCTCAAAATTTAGTAAAAGTTTTGAAGATAAATGATGCAAAATGCATCAAGTTAATTCAGCCCTCCTCTTAAAGATTTCTTGTCTCACAACTGTACGTCGTCGTAGATGCCCTTACATATGTGCAATGACATGTCGTAGAGTGTGGAGAGGCGGCCATTTTGAACCAATGACAGTTACTTGAACAGTTGTAACAGATGCGTCCATATTATGCAGGTTGCGATGGATCCACCAGCGGCAGCCAGAGAGCAGATCTTTTTATCTTCTCATGGTCATCCCGGAGGTTTATTCTTTGGAGATCTCGAAAGGATAAGAAAATGTGGTAACGCAAGGTCGGTGGAGAAGAGAAGGAATCAGGGGTTTCTCTCTGAAAGGGAGTTTCTCAACTTTCTTGGCCTATGATGAAGAGGATCATTCCATGCCAATAGGCAGACGGCAGAAAAGGCCTCAATGATGAAAAAGGGGGCTCAGGGCTTGCTGTGGATCAAGTTGAATGTCCAAGAATATTCAAAAGCTTGCTCTGTGGGGGGTTCCAAAAGGATGGATGGATTGATACAAGACATGTGGAATTTTGCTTTGCACAAGTGTACTGGTCAATGATATATACCACATTTTTACGAAACATGATATTTTTATATAACTAAAAATATAGCCCGCGCACATGCGTGGACACTTATTCGATGTGCTTGAAATTTTCGTATTCGATGTGCCTTTTTATTGAAATGATTTTTACTCTATTATAAACATGTTTTTTGTCAAAAATTTATTTTCTTAATTATCCTTGCAGCATATAAATTCTAAACTAAAATTAAATTACTTGGAACTTTGCGGTTTTTAATTTATGAGTTATGACGACGTATTGTCCCATAATAACCTACTTCCTCCATTTTTAAAATTATTGATGTTTTAGGCTTGTGATCTAAGGTTGCTAATTCTTGACGATCTAGGCTTAGCCTACTTATCTAAGACTTTTTTGCCCCTGCATGCATGCATCACATTAGATCAAGCCAGCCATCTCATGCGTGTGTGCACTTCGCAGCTCGCAAGCCAGCTATGTTCGGCATCCATTCTTCCCAACTCATCTCTCTCATTTTTCACGCGCACGCGTTTCAAACGGTTAAACGGTGTGTTTTTTTAAAAAAAAATTCTATACGAAAGTTATTTAAAAAAATCAAATTAATCCATTTTTTTTAAAAAAATAGCTAATACTTAATTAATCACGTGCTAATGGATCGCTCCGTTTTTCGTGCAGACGGTTCCTTTTGGGAATAAGGGGTGCCGAACACACCGGTGCTGCATGCATGCTTTCTCGTTGCTACTGCTTTGCTGCTTCGCCTTCTTCATCTTCATCTTGTCTTCTCATGTGTTTCTTTTTTTAATATTCAGCATACCTAGATTTTTTTTTTGAGTAAATTTCATTTTGGGCTAGGTTTAATAGCCAAAATTTCACTATGGACTAGGCCTAAGCCCATATTTTCACATAACTCGAGATAAAAATTACCTTCCTTTGCACTTTGGATCGGGTTGCACTGATTTGAACCGCCACGTCGTCTTCGGTCCAATCCACGTGAGCAATGGCTGGTGGACTCAGTCCATGGGAGAATCGTGGGGAGTCTCCTAGACTCAGTGCGTATTCCGCTCGAGAGAGAGCGCATAGCGGCACAGAAGGCCGGGCGCCACCGCCGCCGTCACTGCCGCTGCCATCGCCGTCGCCGCCGCCCCCGGCCGTCGCTGCCGCCCCAGCCGCTGCCGTTGCCGCCTCCGTCGCTGCCGCTTGAACTTTGAAGTGTGCTCCTTGTGGGGACAACATGCAGGAGAGACGGCGGTTAAACTAGATTCTTGCAGGGTTGTCTGCTCTTGTTGGGGGCACTTCAAGCACCTCAGTAATGCCATTACAAGGCAGCAGGAAAATTAAATCAGCAATTTCTGCTACTACGTTTGATTACCTTCAGAATCCATGCAAGAATCAAGAAGGATGGAGCCGCTGCTGCTTGCTAACTCCAGGCGCTCTTGATGGCTACAGCTGATGAGGGGAGAGCAGTCGAGCGGACACATCGAGCAGCCGACGAAATCTTGATCAGGGACAACCAAATCCTATATATTCGGGGCAGTGCCGTAGCCGGGGTAAGGGGGGCTATCATCTGCCGGGGGCGTGGTGGTGCCGCCGCCGGTGCCGTGCTTGAACCCTCGCGGCGTCGGCTTCGCGCCCTACACGCGTGACTTCCCGCGCGCGTAGTTCCTCTCACCGCGAATAGAGTTTTCCACGCCATCTCTTTTACCGTCAAGGTCTTGCTCACGTGGATTGGACCGAAGACGACGTGGCGGCCCAAATCAGTGCAACCCGGTCCAAAGTGTAAAGAAAGGTAATTTTACTTATAGATCGTCATATGGCCCAAGGCCCATGGCCCAGCCCGAAGCCTGCAATTTTGGCCCAGCCTAAGCTCGGCAGGGCCCGACTGGGGTCGTGCCCGTGCCGGCCCGGCCCGGTACAGCCCGATCAAATAAAAAAATATAGGGATGCAAAATAGACTTATATAATCATGTAAGGCAAGGCCCAAGACAAGAGGTATACAAAATAGACTTATTTTCTAGCTATTTAAACACAGCCGCAGAGTTAAGGGACCAAAAATAGACTTTTTCTGTGAGCAGGCACGATGGGCCTTCATGCCTTCGGGCCGGCCCGGCAGGCCCAAGTAGTATTGGGCCGTGCCTAGGCCGTGGATGTCGCCCGTGGGCTGGCACAGCACGGGCCGGTGTGTCGGTCGGGCCGTGCCGGCCCAACAAGCCTTGGCCCAGGCACGGCCGGGCGGCCCAGATGGCCATCTATAATTTTACCTGGTGTTATGTGAAAATATGGGTTTAGGCCTACTCCGTAGTGAAACTTTGACTATTAAACCGGGCCCAAAGTGAAATTTACTCTCTTTTTTTTCTAAACTAACATTTTTCTGGTATACTGTAGATGTTCTTATGGATTTTAGGATATATTAACTGAATATATTTTCTATTGAAATATGGCTAATAGGACTACTTAATGTAATTAAATAAACTTATATTTATTTCTACTCCCTTCAGCCTTATAAATTCAAGAATTCAAATTTTGACTCAAGATGTAAAGGATTGAGTACCACTTGTCCCATTGAAGCATGTAGTATTATTTATTGTCCAATCTTAATCCAACCACCTTCCATTCTCTACCAACCCTTTACGTAATGATGGATATCATAGTCTTTTTCCTTCCTCCTTGATTGCTGCAAAAATCTTTTTCCCTTCCTCCTTGATTACTGCTAAAATCATAGGATCTCCCTTATTTTATAGGATATAGATGGTAATTACCAAGAGCATCATTTATGGGCATTGGCATAGCCATTTAAGTTATTAAGAATAGACACGTTGTTACTAAATCGACTCTCACCACTCCAAAATTGATTTCCATGG